CCCCCCGCCGCTGGGACCCCTGGAGGGCAGCCAGGCCACCCCCCACCCCGCCCTCCCCAAGCCAGGTGTCGCGGCCTCCTCTCCTGCGGTGGCTGAAAATGTAGGAAGTCGGCCAGGGACAACTTCTCTGGGTGTCTCTACAGGCAGAACAAAATCTTCAAGGCTGGAACACTCTGGTACAAAACCTCCTAGGTCTCCGGCACGGTTCCCTCTAAGCTGAGTCGGTGCGAGCCAGCTCACAGTGTTTTCGCCTCCAGCTCACACATTTTTGCCTCAGCTCAGCTCAGGCAGGAGGGCTCCAGAGCAAACTGATCCATGCAGTAGCCAGATGGCTCACTCACAACTTTAATGCCAGTAGGAGCTCACAAGACTCCAGGGCTTGGCGGGAGTCATTTGATATTTTCATCACCTGTCCATGTGGAATCATCCATTCTGTATGTAAAATGATTATAGCTTATGTAAAGCTCATGTTGATGTTCTACATAGTCTGATCAGACTTTTTAATTTCTTAACCTTTGCCACTGTGTACACCATCGGTTTTACACACACACACACACACACACACACACACACACTTCATGTCGAGGTTAGCGTGACCCTCTTCACACTGCTGGCAAGGCTCAGAGGCCCGGAGAGCGGCTGCTGCAGACCGGAGGGCCCAAAGTGTGTGTGGGGGGGGGGGGTTGGCGGGGGGGCAGGGACCTGTTTTCCTTGGTGCCCCAGAGCTGTCTAGGGACAACCGGGTCCCCCTGGAGCAGTGGGGAGGCTGCTGTTGGGGGGCCTCAGCACCACAAGAGCCCTGCTGGATCAGACCAGTGGTCCATCCAGGCCGGCCCCCTTGTCTTCTCCCGCAACCAACACCCGGGGCACCGAGGCCAAGGCCTTCCCCTGAGGTGGCCTCCTCCCACGAGGAGAGGAGGGGGGGACTCCCCACGGCTAGCAGCCCCCCACAGAACCCCTTGGCCTCAAACCCCTCTGTGCCTCCTGTGTGGCCTCCCTCCAGGGGTGGGGTGGGGGCCTTCTCCTCCCCCAGGAAATATTAGGCAGGGACCCAAACCGCAGTGGTAGGTAGAGGGACACAAGTTACACACACACCCCTCCGCACACAGCTCCACACACACACACACACACAGCAGCAGGCAGAGAACCGGCCTCTGTCCCATTCTCTTCTCTTCCCCCCCCAACCCCCACTCCTCAATTCACAGAAAGGGTAGCAGAGGCCCCCGGACTCCTCACAGGATTTATTATACGAAAGGTTGTGTTTATACATCATACAGAGCAGCCACAGAAACAGAGATTGCCCAAGAGAAGCGCGCTGGGGGGGGCGGGACACACACACCCAGGAAGGCCCCAGCCTCTTCCCCCTACCTGAATCCCTTCCGTGCACCCTGCCCCCCTATAAACATGGGGTCCTGCAGCCACACCCTCCCGTTCCAAGAGGAGCAGGGAGGAGAATTAACTTAGGCCGTGTGTGCGTGAAAGGAACAAGTGACACCCCCCCACACCCTGTCCTGCAGCACAAGCAAAGGAGACACCCAA